GACTCATCACTTGTCTGAACAGATTCGACTCTGGTAGTGGCCTTCACTGTCCGACTTTAGGTAGGATCACGTCCGCAACATAGCAACCTGTGCGGCGATGACGGGCTGATTTAGTCAGCTTCCGGCTTGACCTTGACAACGAGTCTGTCAGCAGCTCACGTGGTCGGGCCAACCTGGCCCCGCTAATGCGCACCATCGTAGCCAGCTGTTTCGCCCCTGTGACACCGTCCACCAACTGTACCACTCCAGCACAAATTTTCGCCACTCTAGGCGTCACCACGCTACCTGACACACTCCATCATCCCCTCAAGATTGGTCACAGATTGACCACATCGGCATAAGTCATCGCTGGTGTGGCTGTGTTCAGAACTGCAGATCCTATTGGGCAGCTTGCTTGGAAACCGATAATGCGCTAGTACGTGCGTCGGTTTGCATGCGTTCCGATGGCTTGCCTAGGACCAGACAAACTCGATTTAACCCTGGTAAACCGGACGACCCCACCGTGCACTTGGAATATCAAAATCAGCTTCGTGAGAAGCTCACCTGCCCGCCTCCTCGGATGTTGATCAGCATTGGTCGTGATTGCAACATAGTATGTTTTCAGCGGGTTTATCCAGTTGCGGTCTTTTTCGTTGCACAACGAAAAGTTGGATCTCGGCCACCTCCGCGGAACTTCTCGACTATCGGCGAGCTATACCCGTCAGTGTGGAGCACGTTGAGCTCCGCCGTTCTATTTCCAGACAACTGAAAGCCAGTCTTCGCCGTGATCGTGAATCCTGGTGGTCTAAACAGGCAAAGGAAATGTAAGTTGCTGCCTCTGCTGGTAACAGCCGCAGGTTATTTTATCCCATTAGATCCACCGGAACCAATATTCAAGCCACCAGTCAGACCATCTGTGAGTCAGACGGTACAAAGATCACCAACCTACGCAGACCCCGTGGCGGAGCTGTACGCTATCGGGTGCGTTCCCAATTTGCGGATTCGGGAATACCTTCCCTGTGGAGTTAACTGTGAAGAAGTCTCGTTTGCCTTGCTGGCGAGATGAATAAGCCGTCGCGGACAATCAGCGGCATCGTCTGAGAGCGTGGGAAGTTCTGGGCTGGTCACCTGGTTCTCTATCAAATATTACAAGAGCTCGTATGGCGCGGTGTCAAAGCCAATGTGACCGGCTATAGGGTCACTGACCACTCACTTCTGTATTCGGGGGTGAGTATATAACGGAGAGCGGATGAACAACCTTACTGGCCACCGGCTTCTCTGTGGACTGTTACTGAACATAAAGAAGGCGAAGGAGCTACCCGGATGTCAATGGCTTCGTTAATCGGCCCGCTGCCTTGCGGGTTAGGTCTTAAGACCAAGAGCTCTTAAGTCAACTCTCTTCCTCGGCGTAGGTAACCGGGAAGATCTCTACCCACACAACGCATTAACCATCCAAACTTTCCAGATGCTTTCACTTACTACCGATTTCCCCCCTTTTGTTGTTGTTAACTATGCATTGTGGCACTGCCAATTGTATATTGGTCAAGTGTTGAATAAAACTAATATTTAATAACCTACGCAGACGCCTGGATCGCTTGGCAGTGCACTTTGCTCTTCATTTTAATTGCTCACCACAACCTCCGGTTACACATCCACTGGCAGCATGTAATCCTTGGTCGGTCTGCATAGATCCTCTCACTGAAGCAGAAATACGGAAAGAAATTCAGACAATGAAACGCCACAAAGCTCCTGGCCTGGACCGGCTTCCTCTGGCCTTATTCAAATATGGGGGATCTTAGTCGCCACCGAAATTCTATCGCTGTTCACAAACGTAGGCAGCGATGAGAAACTTCCTAATGGGGAGAATCTGTTGTGGTTCCGATCCACAAGAAGAGCTCTTGTAGGGAATGCACCAACTACCGAGGGATCTCACTTGTCTCTGTCGCGTCCAAGCTTTTCGTGTCCGTTCTGCTGCGTAGGATCTCAGTTACCCGCGAGATTTTGTGTCGTGAGGAACAGCCTGGCTTTCGTTCTGGCCGTGGTTGCATTGACCAACTTTCACGACGCGTCAAATTCTCGCTCATTGTCACGTCTACCGAAGAGCAACAATTGTGCTGTTTTTGGATTTCCGAGCCGCTTTTGATTTTGTAGATAGGTCATCACTGTGGAACTGTCTGCTACGGAACGTCGTTCCCGACAAGCTTGTCATACACTTGTAAGAGCTGTATACTCACACGTCTGGCAAAGTTAGAGCTTTTGAAAGCCTTTCTTCTTCGTTTCCCGTTATCAGTGGAGCGCGCCAAGGTTGTCCTATCTCGCCGTTCCTGTTCAACTTTGTCATCGAAGATGTCTTACATCGCGCATTGGAAGGAGCCCAGAGCTGCGATGTTGAGCTTCTACTCGGGAGCAGAGTTGTGGAACTGGACTATGCTGATGACATTGCTTTTCTGGGGTACGATTCGCCGGTTGTTCAAAACATTCCGAACCGCTTAGCGATAGAGGCATCTAACTGCGGTCTGCGTTTTGCTCCATCCAAGTGTAAAGCTTTGCTCCAGGATTGGCAAGCGCCTGTGCCTACCCACACCATTTTGGGTGTTAGCCTGGAGTGTGTTAACAGGTTTACTTACCTCGGGAGTTGCATCACGGCTGATGGCAGTATTGGCGACGAAATTTCACAACGAAATGCCAAAGCTCGCCTTGCAGTTACTATACTGCGACACTTGTAGCGTCGTCGCGGTGTCAATCTCAAGCACAAAGGCCCAGCGTAGAACGTCACAGTTCGTGCTATCCTACTGTACGGCTAAGAAACCTGGCCTGTTCGATTGGAAGATTTGTAACAACTGTCTACTTTCAACAACCGCTGCGTGCGTTCGATTGCCCGCATATGGTGGCAGCACCAGGTGAGCAACGCGGAATTTAGAAGTAGAGTAGTGGGAGCGGACAGTCCGTCTCCAGAGCATAATCATCCAGCGCTGCTTGCGTTGGCTTAATCACGTACTACGCATGCCAGCCCACCGCCTTCCATTTCGCGCATCAATACACTTTCTGGATGCGAATGGAAAAAGGGCCGCGGCGGACAACCGATGACCTGGAAAAGGTGTATAAAGATTCTAACTTGGTGTCTAGCATCAGTTGGATCCGTGCGTCTCCCAGGCTGTGGACCACGTGAAACCGATACCCAGTGGTTGGATGGCTTGGATAATATGACCCGCAATAGAAGTCATTGGAAACCAATGCTGTTCTACCATCGCCTCATCATCTCATATTTAATGTTGAACAAAACACGAAAACAAAATAGCTCCAAACGACTAGTGCGAAAATAAAATTTTTTATAACGTTTTACTCGCTCTCTCCTCGTTGGAAATTGTATTCACCTTGCCGTACCACCATGGTTCGGATAGCAAATTTGGCTGTTTACAGAGTTCTGAATATATATATATATATATATATATATATATATATATCGTTCTGTTGCCGCTAACAACTGCCGCGTTTCATCAGCCTATCCTGTTTCAACCTTTTATTTTATAATTATAAACGCCTGATGGGATTTATCGAAAAGTGTGCTCTTCCCTACCTTGTGTTCTGACAATTCCATGGGTATAAGTTTTGAATGTATAGTCTCTGCATCTAAATTCAGGACCTGTCTAAGGAGAAATTTTTATCTTCTTAGTTATGGCTTCATAAGGAATATGCTGCCAAGGGATGATATATATTGAATATTTCTCCATGTTTAAGCAAATGATAAAAATTTATCTGTCAACTGACAGAGCGAAATGCATCATAAGAATTCAACTTAATGGTGAAAAGCTGTATGAAGAAGGGTCGGATCATGTATGATACCGGAGAACATCGACTGGATACTTGTGCAATAAGTGCACCAGCGCAAACTTGATCATCTAGATGGAGCAGGTACAATCGCTTCAAATGCAATTTTTAACGCAACCTCTTAGACGGCTTTACTCCACTCCAACTTAACCCTTACCAAAAGTATTTACTGGTATAAGGCCAGAAATCATCTGCGAAATCACCCCTTCAAATTAACCAATCCGTAATATTTGTATTGCGATTCGCTTTGCTACATTGGTTCTGTAATGCTAACCGTTACCCCTTCTCCCGAGTTAACGGTTCAGCAACACATACCTGGTTTCATTGATTAGCGATATCGGATTCCCTATTCTACGAATACCTGCTACTAATAATGATTTCGAAAATTCATTTTAGTACCTTTTTACTTCTGCAGTTATCTGTCTTCGACTGTCACGCCGCACAATATGAATGTATGATTCGTTCGATCCAGTGTGTGCTGTTGTAAAACATGTTATATTATTTTTGGCCTTAACGATATCCTACTTACTTCACTCAAGCTTCCTTATTTTTTATTCTCCCTTAATTCATTGTTGGCCACGAGTTGGCTGATCTCCTTAGGTAACGGATTGAAGCTTCCAGATTATAAAAGCTATACCCATGCAAGGCACATTGCCGCCGACTAAATGGTGTATAAAAAATGCCATAATTGAATGATCCTCTTGACGGACCGAACTGAGGCTTCGTCGCCCATACTACATGCATAAAAGCAGTCGTAAAACGAACACAACATAGTTAAACAGGTGATGGCTTATAGGCTACTTTGCCACACCGGCACATTTCCAGAAAAGGCATGGAAGTACGAGTGAAACGTGTATGGAAGCAGGTCTCCTGGGGACGGTTCCACGGATGGCCATATTACTTGACCTGAACATTTCTTTAAAGCTGTATAGTTATTGTTCCCAGCTTTTCCATTTCTTTGATACTTTTAACCTGCTAATTACGTTAATGTCCGTTGTTGACCCGTTGTATAAATCGTAAACAATTATCTATTTTGTGCGATCCTGCTGTACACATTGATCAGATCACATTTTTTGGACTGTGCCTCGCACCACTGAAGAATATACCATTTAGTTATTTTCACTTTGAAAATGCGGAGCTAAGTTAAGGCCCGAGGCGACTTCACTCTACTCTGATTGATGAAACAACTGAACTTACCCAAATGCCATCTTACCTTCGACGCCCAAATGCTCAATGGCCGTGTACTTCTGTAGGTTCTCCATGATGAATGTCAAAGCTTTCACCCGTGTAATAAACGAATCGAAGTCTCCGAATATCTGGATCCGAGAAAATTCCATTTTCGTATACTTTCCCTTGGGATCATCCTCTTGGCTTATCTTATCATATGCTGCTTGGTAGGATTCGTTCAAGGATACACAGTAGTTCAACTTGGTGAGCATTACATCAGTGGGCTGATTCCAAATAGAGACCATACCGTTTTCTGTAAGATATTCCATACAGCGTTTGATCAACTGCTTGGTGATCTGAACATGTCATGGGAAAGCACGTAAATACGTCGTTTCTCTGTAGCATTCAGTGTTATTGTTGCTAATACACCAGATGCAGTCATAAAATAAATGTACGGAAATTAGTTTGTCGGCGCAGGCGACTTAGGACTAATCCTCAGTAATAAGAGAAGGGATGGATACAGTAAGGCGAACAGCGTGCTCACCTTCATGAACAGGATAGTCATGTTTGTGGGAGATCGATAATGTGTTGAATAGGAGAAGATAAGTCGTAGCATTCGCATGAGGCTGAGCATGTACGATTTCAGTTCCGGCTGACTCAAAAACAGAAGGAGCAGATAAAATATAGTGGTAGCTCGAAATGATTTCACCAGCTGTGAAAATGATTAAGACAACGGTTACTTTAAATCTAAGTTTCGTTCAATCTGCTATTGTAAAATAACGTAGACCAGCATAAAAATCTCCGAAAACAAATGGAGAGAAATCAGTACCAAAGGAATGAACACACAGTGTCTAATCGATAGCAATGAACAAGATGCTGCATCCATCTGTCTTGTGTGTCCACAGCAAACTTATCGCAGTTTGGGTGGGTTACCAGCCCTGCTCTGAAAGACAGGTGTACGCCAAGAGTTCCACGCTGTATGCTCTCACCGAGTTTATCCTCATCAGTCTGCCGTCCGAAACAGTGAACAGAGGTTACTACGAATGCGTTAAGCAGTAGATTTCCGTTTATTTTAGCCGAACAGGCCATAAGCTGAAGGCACCAAGAGAATGATGCGAACAGATTAGTTGATTCCTTGGTCCAGACAAGCTATCATCCTTCATTGGGATACGCACTCAGTTGCAGTTCTCCGCAAGACATAGGGCAACACCGGACTTGTATGTAGAAGGCGATGATCACTTCCGGACAGTCAAGGTGCGGCCTAGCCCGATGCCCCTTAAAGGATTGGAACTCTGCTCGCCCTCTAGAGCTGTTCGACCACCACAGAGATAGCCCGGCAGAATCAGTTAACAACGAGGGGCGCCGTTCTGCCAACGGCAGTTCAAGTAAATCCTGCGCAATGCGCACGAGGCTTGGTAGGCTGCACGTGTTTTATTCATGGAAACCGCTGCACATTCTAGCAACACTCATAAACTTTTTCAACTTATCCGGTCCACTGGAATCAAGAAGCTTGGTGTCAGTGATGTTATTTGAGAGGCGGATGGGTCTCCGAATAACAACCAACAGAAGTTTTTGGACTGCCTGGCAGTCGCAATGCAACTAGCCTCCACTGTCCATCCATGCACGCAGTGCGCCTTTTTGCCTGCCCAGGCTCGTACCACTGGATCTACCCAGTGAAACGGAAGTCTGCCTCGAGATTCGACGCATGAAGTGATTAAAGACTGCCGGCTCAGACTGACTTCCTCCGGATGTGTTCAAGTATGGCGACTTGGTGATCATTAACCAGATGACCTCGTTCGCAAAATGCTGGCATGAAGGAAAAGGGACTTACTCTTGGAGCGAATCAATTATTGCCCCGATTTTCAAGAAAGAGGCTCTAACTTCTTGTTTCAATCACCGAGGGATTAGTCTCCTTTCGACTGCCTCCAAGCTACGGGCATTCATCCTGCTTTATAGATTATCCCCGATACGTGAATCAAATTGCCGTAAGGAACAAGCTGGTTTTCGTCCCCTCCCTGAATGTGTGGATCAAGTCTTCACGCACCGCAAACTCCTCGAAAGTCACATTTGCCACAGGCCCACTATCCTTGCATTCCTAGACATACGAACTGCATTAGACTCGGTTGACCGATCCGCTTTTTAGCATTGGTTGCTGAAGAATGGGGTGCCAGCTAAGTGTACCGCCATCCTATTTGCACTTTACCTTCATATATCCGGAGGGTGAAGATCAACAGCAAACTTTCCACGCCTTCCACTCTGCATAGCGGTGTACGACAGGCTGTACTATCTCCCCATTTCTCATCAACCTCGCAATCGAGGACGTCGTATAGAGTGCTCTATAAGGTTACAGAAATTTTGACATGGAATTTCTACCGGGAAATCTCGAGCTCGACTTAGTTTATACTGGTAATATCACCTTACTTGAGGATGATCCACAGGGCATACAACTCATTCTAGACCATTTGGTGTTTAAAACATCTAAGTATACCATGAGCTTCGCCCAGCCGAACGGTTTAGTGTTGCTCCAAGATTGGCCCACACTTGCTCCCGTGTTAATACTTGAAGGTGCACAAAGTATACTGGTAGATTGTTTCCGTTAACTTGGGAGCTGGTGACACTGTCAACAATGAAATTATCTTAACACCGCTAAGGCCCGATGAGCATTTATCAATCTGAGGTACTTGTGGTGTCATCGGGAAGTCTCATTCTTGATAAACAGTCGCGTGTTGTTGTATGGAAGCGAGTCCTGGCCAATCCGTGTGGAGGACCTGCATCGTCTTTTTGCACTTGATAACAGTTGTTTAAGCAAGATCACTCGTGTGGGGTAGCAATACAGAGTTCGCAGTGATAACACCCGACGCCCCGTCTTAGGAAATGAGAGTATTCCCTTCAACAAGCTAGTTTAGCTGCGCCTGTTGAGGTGGCTCAGGCACGCCTTACTCAGAACGCTTGAGCGTTTGTAGCGCTGGGCTCTTCCGCTCGTCGGTGATCGGGCTATTGGTGACGGCGTGCTGGTCAACCTTCCACCCGACGACAGCATAAGAAATGGTGGACGTCACATCTATACCTTTTCGGAATCAAGCCAGTCCTTAACGGAATCAAGCTCCTCCTTAAGAATATTCAACCCAG